GACACGCACATACATGCACATTCAGACACAGAGACACATAGACAGACAGACAGAGATGGACACACACACACACACACATCTGTATCTTTCATCCCTAGTTACAACACTATTTTTGGCATTGATAAGTGACTGGTTTTTGATACTTTTGACAATAATTCTCCACTTAATCGCTTCAACCAGCTCTTCCACAGGCTTGCACGCACGCACTCTCATTCACAGCGTCTTATTAACCCATCTCTGCAGCAGGCGGCCCCTCTGAGAGCCCCCTGCTACATCTATCACCGCACTGTGTGACCAGCTCATTTCATCTCCATATCTGTGACCGCGCTGGGCCAAGGGTGAGACGCTGACAGACGACATCCAGCAGATTCAAGGCCACACGGCCCAGTAATTAGACATTCTTATGTAATAAATGCTCTCACAGCGTTTAGTTCATCAACGCACAATATGTCATCCCGATAGATGATTGTGTCAAAACGCAGAAGATGCTATTTTTTTTGCTGTTGTTTTGCTGTACTGATAAATTAGGTGTCTACCATTGAGAGGTTGAACAAGAGACAACGCTGTCACCAGAGGATTTGAATTGAGTGGGGTCATAGTTTTAGTTATCACATATCAATCCATTTGGCTGCAGTTACAAAGTGAAAAAAGCAATGTATTCATTATTTGAAGCTGATTGTGTTTAATCAGTATGTTAAAATGTTCTCATCACTCATAGTATTGTGAAACATATCTGAAATTAAATGAATTTGACATTAAAAGAGATATTACTTGCAAAATCCCATCTGCATTTCCCAGTTTTTTAACATGCTAGAGTTGTTCTCCCTTCTCATTTACACAGTCAAAAAGAGCTGGTTTAAAAAAATCACACTTCCTGATTACTACATCATTGAGTTGATCACTAGACAAATCAATCATCAAAATAATCATTAGTTGCAGCCCAAAGCTCAAAGCTCATTTTAGAGCGATAAATGCATGTTTGAGTAATCTCCCATTCCGCTCAGCTCGCTCCTCTGACCACAGCCACAGACAGACAGAAAGATGCACGTAAAAAACAGCCGAACAAACGTCAAACTTAAAAACTGTAACTTTTTTTTGTTTCATTGTTTTCATGTTGATAAAAACAGTGAAACATAATGCAGAATTATAATAATGTATTCATCGGTTTACTGATCTGTTTTCTTTGGACTCATATCAAAACATCTGTTGCCTCCTCGAAATAAACAAACTAATTTCCATTGACAATACAAGACGGGAGGAAGGCACCAGCTGTTCCCAGAAGTTCCTTCAGGGGAAAACACTATAAAAACCTGGGTAAAAAAAAAAACTCCCATTGATCAAAACATGGGTCCAAATTGGTTGCGAAATCAGATACACCAGATAGCATAAGACTCATCAATGAAATATAAATGTGTTTTTTCCATAGACGAAACCTTCTATTATTGGCCTTTGCACTGTTTTGACAACAAATAAAAACACTGACTGAACGTTGCAATTTAAAATCATTCAACCAGAGCCTTAAAGCAACAATGCCATAAACAGTGTTGTTCCAGTGAAGAGTTGGGGCTGTTTGAATCTCACGAGACCATGTAGAACAGGGGTGTCATTCATACGGCCCGCGGGCCGGAACCGGCCCGCCAAGAGATTTGACACGGCCCGTGGCTCATTTATGTAAAAATATAATAAAGTTACATTTTAAAAAGCCGCTCCGCGACGCAAGGCTCCGCGCCGCGAGGCGCCGCGACGCCGCAGCGCCGCGCTCAGGGGTGAGTCCAGTGCGTCTGTAGTGGCTCCACCAGAGCGGTGCTGAAGGAATAACATCTTAAACTACAAGACTCGGCGAAAAATACGGCACTTTGAGCGAAGAATAGAGAAAACAGAAGATAAACATGTCTGGCCCTGAAGACACAGCAGTCTGTTTGTGCCCAGAGCGAGAGGTTAGTGCTGCTGCTGTAAAGGGAAGCTACCTGTGCTAACAACATTAGCATCGCAGCCGCACAGTGAGAGAGAGTTGTTAAAACTCTCACAGGCTGCAGACATGGTCTGAGAAACCACTCGCTTTTACCAACATGTTGCCATTGATAAGAGACTGATGTTACTGATGTCACATATTCATTTGTGGTGTTACTGAAACTATCAGAGGAGTTTTGAGCGCTGCTGCTGGTGCTGCTGCTGGTTCTGCTGTTGTTGCTGGTGTGTTGGACAGTGTGGACTGGTACCGATGGTAAAAACAGGTGTAGTGACAAAGCTGCAAATGGAGGTGATGATTTTTGGACATTTGACTGTATTTTACACAGAGACACTGCTGCAGTCGTTAAGAATGAATCACGTTATGGAAGTTGTTTTATTCATTTCAAATGAATCATGGTCAGTTTGATGCTTTCTCTGTGATAATAACATAACCATGGACTGTACCACACTGAAGATGGTTAATGTGATAATAACATAACCATGGACTGTACCACACTGAAGATGGTTAATGTGATAATAACATAACCATGGACCTGACCACACTGAAGATGGTTAATGTGATAATAACATAACCATGGACCTGACCACACTGAAGATGGTTAATGTGATAATGACATAACCATGGATCTTACCACACTGAAGATGGTTAATGTGATAATAACATAACCATGGACCTGACCACACTGAAGATGGTTAATGTGATAATAACATAACCATGGACCTGACCACACTGAAGATGGTTAATGTGATAATAACATAACCATGTACCTTACCACACTGAAGATGGTTAATGTGATAATAACATAACCATGGACCTGACCACACTGAAGATGGTTAATGTGATAATAACATAACCATGGACCTTACCACACTGAAGATGGTTAATGTGATAATAACATAACCATGGACCTGACCACACTGAAGATGGTTAATGTGATAATGACATAACCATGGACCTTACCACACTGAAGATGGTTAATGTGATAATAACATAACCATGGACCTTACCACACTGAAGATGGTTAATGTGATAATAACATAACCATGGACCTTACCACACTGAAGAAGGTTAATGTGATAATAACATAACCATGGACCTGACCACACTGAAGATGGTTAATGTGATAATAACATAACCATGGACCTTACCACACTGAAGATGGTTAATGTGATAATAACATAACCATGGACCTTACCACACTGAAGATGGTTAATGTGATAATAACATAACCATGGACCTGACCACACTGAAGATGGTTAATGTGATAATGACATAACCATGGACCTTACCACACTGAAGATGGTTAATGTGATAATAACATAACCATGGACCTTACCACACTGAAGATGGTTAATGTGATAATAACATAACCATGGACCTTACCACACTGAAGAAGGTTAATGTGATAATAACATAACCATGGACCTGACCACACTGAAGATGGTTAATGTGATAATAACATAACCATGGACCTTACCACACTGAAGATGGTTAATGTGATAATAACATAACCATGGACCTTACCACACTGAAGATGGTTAATGTGATAATAACATAACCATGGACCGTACCACACTGAAGATGGTTAAGCTGAGGTGCTGTGTTTAAGTGCTTTTTTCTATCTACCTACTTTACCTTTGTGAGCAGGTTTTCTCTGTAATGAGCCTTAAAACAAAGCTAACACACAAATATTAATATACATATTGTGAAATACCATTTTCAATGTAATATTGTAAATACATTACATTATTTGCACTATGGAAAACTCACTGTTACATTTAAGTTTGTAACAGAAAACTGAGTATTAAAGAATAGTGTTTTAAAGGAAGTTTTAAATAAATGTGTTTATGTGCACAAAAAGTTGGACTTTGTACCGTTTTTGGATATTTTTGTAGAGCATCTCCTGGTCCGGCCCACTTGAGATCAGATTAGGTTGTATGTGGCCCCCGGACCAAAATGAGTTTGACACCCCTGATGTAGAAGATGTGTTTCTCTTTTAATTACCATCAAAACGCAATTTGCTAGTAGGGCTGCTCTGGTATGTTGTTCATAATAACGTATATAATTCTTACATCAGAGAATACATGTAAGTCAAGATCAGAAATAATTAGTAGGGCGTAGATTTGAGTTTGCTTTAAGACATGTAACCAGGCAGATGTATGTGTGTCCCTATACACTAAGGGTAAAGGTGCACTTTTATTGATCCTCTGCATTTGACCCATCCTGATGCCACTAAGGCTTAGGTGCAGTGGTCACCGTAGTAACAGCACCCGTGAACCCATCTCCAGATGTTGATGCTCGGCTTGGTCAGGACTACCGGAGGTGGAGGATTTAACCTATGCATGTTTCTAGTGCTAGGGGAAACCAGAGTACCCGGAAGAAACCTACACAAGCACGGGGAGAACATGCAGACTCCACTCAGAAAGACCCCGTTCCGACCGGGATTTGAACCCCGGACCTTCTTGCTGAGAGTCGAGAGTATTATCCACTCAGCCACCGTGCCACTCAACACTGCGGTAAGGTTGCACAACTTGTCAAAGTAGAAGAATTGTTGGTCAGTAATTTGATTTTTCATGTAAAATATAGAGATTGGCTTAATTTATTTTAAAACCCTGTAAAAATGGTTCTATAAACATAAAAAAAATACATTTTGAATGGAGTGCAGTGGTAGTAGCCGTGTTATTGTCATTCCTAAAACATTCATATCATCTAAACTATTCATACGAGCAGTACACAACAACAGCCTCGATTGTGCAAATCTATCTCAAGCAATTTAGCCTCATATGACTTTTGGTTCAAATGACTACCATCGATAAATGATTAAAGGATTGTCGTCACATTGTACTTATTTTCAAAAAGCAACTCACTTAGAAGAACATTGTGGTAATGAAAAGGTAGTGCATTGTATCAGAGATGAAAGGATTCCTCGTTTCTGAGCCCTCGCTGTGGTAATAGAGGCGTCGCCACAGTAGCCAGGTAAACACAGGTAAGACGACGAGATGATTAAGGATGGAATCTCAATGACAAACTACCTCTGCACCGGACCAGCCTAGAGTAAACAGAACAGGCATGTTTAAAAAAGCTTAGGTTAACTGTGTATTTAACCAGGCACACACAGTAAGTGCAGGCTGGACAGTAAATCCATCAATGTTTGCAAGATAAATGAATGGGAAAAAGCTATTGAGAAGGACCCATCAGAATTCCTTTAGGGTGACTGTCTTAGAATGACTCTCCAAAAGTTACTATGGAGAGAGTGAGCCTTTGTTATCAAATCAGAAAGTATAAAGGAAGTAACTTGGACAATGTTTTTGAATAATTCACAATAGATATGCTCAGTCAGGCTCATGCATAATGCAGAACTATCAATAGGGATTTTATACTGACCAAAAAACAGGGATTTCACACAGGCCGGTTTGTCCGAACGACTCTGCACTTGCCCCGCCTACAACCCGACACGTATTCAATGTGAACACACCGACTAATGATATGCATAATTAGCAGAGTATAATTTTTGATAACAGATCTTGCACAGTAACTTAGATATAGCTTTAGACTCTCAAAAATCGAATCATTCCTTGTCCCATTTTTTAAGGTTCTTTAAAATCCATCCATATCTTGCTAACAGGGCGGCACAGTGGCTGAGTGGATAGCACTCTCGCTTCTCACTAAGAAGGTCCTGGGTTTGAATCCCGGTCGGACCAGGGCCTTTCTGAGTGGAGTTTGCATGTTCTCCCTGTGTCTGCGTAGGTTTCCTCCGGGTACTCCGGTTTCCCCTACCACTAAAAATATGTACAATAGGTCTGGCATGTGCCTCCTGTACTGGCCCCGCTCCCATCTCTGTGTGGAGTGAGAGACAAATGTCCAAAAATAATATAAATTGTAAACCGCTTTGTGACTCTGGTCTGTGAAAGGCGGTATATAAATAAAGATTACTTACTAACAGACGGACAAACCCTGGTGACGACATAAACCGGTGTAACTGAATGAGGTAAAATATGTATATGGAACATCCACAATAATTCAGAATTGTTTTGCATATGACTATAAGCCAAAGTGAAACACACCTGAATTACATAGATACAAAAAAGATGAACAAACATGATATAAAACACAATATGATCAACAAACTATAGAAGTAGGATATACTGTAGAATTCAGCCTAAAGCCATGTCCCGCAGTGCACCGCGGAAAGAGCTTGCCTTGTGTTGTTGACTCAGCACTTTTAACTCTTCATCTATTTCCATAGCAACACATTTATTCCCCTCCTCAACCTTTATTACCTCACACGGACATTTGGGACTGACCCATTTGACTCCTGCTGCGCGATATTACATTAGCATGTCTCTTAAAAACACATTTTCGCTCCTTCAAGAGCCTTAACCCAGCGGGAGACTGACACCCGAATGCACACACACACGTACGATGAATGGGGAGATTAGTTCAGACTTTCATCATGACGTGTTTGTCCCGTATGGTGGGGGTCCGTAGGGGAGGGGAGGCACTGCGGGGGCTAATGGGTTATGGGTGTGAATGTGGCGTGTGTGTCCAGGACCAATAAAGTCAGCAGTAGAACGTGGTCTCGAAGGAGCAGTAAAACAAACAGAAAGTGGACAGCAATAAGGAAAAAGTAAGCACTAAGCACTGGATATTTCACTTCAAGGCGGCTGTTTATGTACAAAAGTCAGAGAAGAGCACCTACACCACATATACAGAATTATTAGGGCATTGCTATCTATTCAGCAATTCAGCTATTGCTATTCAGCCAATGTAAATTCCAACATGATTACTACTACATACACTTAATACACTTCACAGGAGATGTGATGAGTAATGGCTTTACAATATCAAACTACTGTGGACATGTATGAGTACACACAATTGTAAGATATTTGCTCCAAACAGCACAGTTGTCCTGCTTAGTTGTGCACACTAAAGATATTTGATGATATTTTGCTGTTTAAATCAGGCCAATCTTCAAAATATTATACATGTATTTGTCAAACAATCTGCAATCTGCTTGTCGACATAAATACAATATTCTTTAATAACAATGTCTCATAGAATATAGAATTATTCATTCATTTATTCCAATTGTGGACATGACGCAACCTTTTTACAATTACATTTCAATTAATTTGGAACTGTTGCACAAATGAAAAGAAGAAAAAAAAAAGAGAGATAGTGATTGATTATTGTGGAACTCCACACCATGGAAGCAATAACTTATCAATGAAGACCACATTGTGGACTAGTACTCAAGATGTCGAAGCTAAACAAAAGCAAAGTGTGAGATGATTTTGATGTAGATAAAATGTATCAATCAATTACTCACCACATTGTTACTCTGAACAAGCAATTTCACAGTTTATGATCAAGACCACCATGAGATATAACTATTACCGCCTACACTTTATCTGATTCCAACACATATCAAAGTCACCCTTCCATGTCGCGGTGGTAAAACTCTATTGACTGTATTGAAATAACATGTTAAATGTTGGATAAAACGTCACTAAGTCTTTGGATTCCAGTTCAATGGCCGTGAATGAGCGCTCGCTGGTCCACTCTTCATCACATCGAAGTGCTCTACTGCTTAAATCAATGCTGCTCGCGACCTGATAAGTCCTCTTGTATATTGCAGGGGCGGACACAAGCTGATGCCAAAACTGCAGTTACTGCTATGGTTCACATTGTTCCATACTATAAACCTCAGCAAAACACATTGCTATAAAACCTGAGAATATCGCACTACTTTTGTCACATGATTATCATTTGACAAATATAGATTTCCTGTGACAGGTTACAGCCTGTAGTATTTGGTCAGGATTAGAGTAAAAGGCAGAGAAATGACATCAGTTCTATTGTTGAGTGTTGACAGCATCTCTCAGATTTTCCAGTGAGAAAATTGTGTATCAGCTTCTCTCTGAGGCTATTGATAACAAATTTACTAATCAGCGGAATTTGGGAAATAGATGAGACAACAAAAAAGTAGGTTAATCCAAGCATTAAAGTTAAAGTAACAACATAAGTACAATTCTGCTACTTTACTCGTACAACTGGAGAATCCTAAAATAACCACCTAAAATCACTATCTTGGACCATCACATGAAGTCATTGTTTGCTTTACAGTCAAACAGCAGAACTGCGAGCTCACATGTGTTTTCAATGCCACCACAAGAGCTTGAGGAAATATGTTGATATATATATCCATTTAAGCTTCATTCTTTATCTTGTATTGCAGCCATAGACAACATAGCTTTCTCCCACAGAGGTTATAAAAGAGTGCACAGCTGCAGAGCACGACCACAGGACGGTAACAACCAGAACAGACAGGTGACCTGCAGGTCTCCCACATCTCCACTCCCTCTGTGGCTCACCACAACTAATTATACCTCAGACACAAACAGCCAGAGGAACACCCAAAACAATGCCTAATTTATCACAATTGATACTACAAGAGCAGCAGCAATCCATGTGAAACCAGAAACACTTCTCAGATATGGAGCAGAAGACAAGCATCATAAAGATGTGAGATGGCTGCTCCTCTGCCTCTACAAGTCTGGAATAAGTTTCTCTGCAGCTGTCACATGAGTTCTGCTCGATCTGAGTGCCCATTCACAGCCCATATTATTTGCAACCCATACATTACATCTACATTTGCAAGTATTTGAAGTAGTGACTGAGAAGACTACAGTGAATTTTCCACGTTTTTAAACAAATTGCTTCACTTTTTCGCTCTATGATGCTGTGAAGTTGACAGTTCCTGAACTGTTTCCCACAAGAATTGTTCACTTTACAAAGGCCGATTAAAAAGCAGCAGTAAGTGAATTACCTTTACAGGCGAGCTCCTGGTGGCTGTGGTCAGGTCTCTAATAGCACTGCCTGCAGGAGACGCGCATATTCCAGCTGCGTAGCCCTGAAGAGAACCCCCGGGGAAGCACTGCCTGCTGCCCGTGCCGTTGCCTCGCTGTGGCCGCTGTTTGATCCCATCCAGGAGCCGCACCAGGAGGATGTTGGCCGGCAGCTCGTCCACTCCGCAGTCCACCAGGATGCGGCACTCCGGGCAGCGCAGCTCGTTTCTGGAACTCACGATGTTCTCCAGACAGCGACGGCAGAAGGTGTGCTGACAGGGCAGCACCTTGGCCGTGGTGTCCAGGCGCTCCAGGCACACGGAGCACTCCAATAGATCCAGCAGCGACGAAGACTCGTCCATGTCGGCGGAGAGCGTGAGCATCTGGGCTTCAGAGTGCAGGACGTGGTGGGGACTGGTTTGTGATCCGGGAGAAAGAAGCGCAGCCACAGAACATGCTGGAGGAGGACGCTGCTCCAGTCTCCGCGCGTAAACACACAGTTGTTCCCGAGAGTTGTGAAGCAGGATCTACGCTCTTCCCTCTCTCCGTCTCCCGCAAAATGTTTGTGTTTCTGTTCTCCTCCTCCTCCTCTCTCCAGCAGCTGTGCACAAAACGGTGAGGTCACGCTCCCATCATCATCATCATCCGCGCGCACATCAGAACCCACCGCTGCGCGCGCACGACAGAGAGCGAGAGATAAAGCGAGAGACCCCCACCACTGATGTGAAGGTCCCCCGCCGCTGCTGTTGTTGCCAGCCAGGTTTTCATCCCACACCTTCAGCACTGAACAAAATCCGAGCTGTTCTGATCCTAACCGCCTGAAGCCCAAAAGCAGGACACACTGTTATCAATGCGCACTAAACTCAGAGTAAAGACTGTTCCATCCGTAAGAATACAGTGTTCAGCAGAGAACAATGGTCTGGACTCGTTAAAGCAGAGGCCATCACCTTGTGCTGGCCACCTGACACAGACCTCTCATTACCTAAACAACTTCAGCGCCACAGTGCTTTGGGAACATGGGTTTGTGACGACACCTAGTGGTAATACATAGACATTTTGTTTTTCTCCTTTCTTCCCAGAGCAATACAAACCTACATTTTGGATATTTTAGAGGTACTTAAGAATAGGAAGTAGAGTTGATTCAATTTGCTCCATCATGTAACACTTTATGTAGCATTCCTAAACTGTCTTTGCTTAGGTTCATCTGGATGTTGTTATTTTGTAGTTGGTCATTAAACTTTCCTTTTTAACTTTTTATACAGTTGGACCAGTCAGATGTACTACCTTTAGGGTTATATCAAGGCAATACAAATAGTCCAATGCTGATGATTTGCAACTTCTACAACATATCTGTGGAATGGCGAGTTTCTTCACTGTAAAAATATGTCCAAAATTGAGGAATGTTTTTGTTTTAAATCAAACTGAACATGTCAAGCAAAGCAAAATTAATCTTTTGCAGGAAGCAGGTATCAGACGTTCACCAGGACATTACACAGACTTGAAAGCAGCTCTCTCAAGTATATTTATGAACAGAAAACAATACATGCATGTTAATGAAGTCATCAATTTCTCAGACTCGCAGCCTATGAAGGCGTATTATTGTCTTTCTTATGTCTATGAACAATCCTTGCACACCTGTTCAGACATGTCCAGCTCTCACTCGCTCAGCCAAGGGTAAGATTTACGCTAATGTGTGTATGTGAGATTGTGGTATGACAAAGAGACGCCTTCCCAAGAATGATGCGGGCTCGCCTCTTACCACCCACGATGAAATGAGAGCTGACGAGCCAATGAGGGGCGAGACTGATGTGTTTTGGCTACATATACGAATCAAAACAATGAGACCCAAGTTACAATTTAGCCATTAAGGTGCACACATGCAAGGGGTAAGAATAGCAGTGATAGAAAAGAGGTCTATGGAAGCAAACTGCAAGCCATACGATGTTACTTCAGGACACGCTATTTTAACAACATAACAGTGGATTAAAAAACAGCTAATGCCAAGATAAAGTGACAAAACTATGAGTATTCAAAAGATTACAGCTTACTTGCACATATACAGCAATTCTTCTTTATAACCCACACCAATGACACCCACACTGCATTTTCGGAAACATTACCATGACCGCAGAAACTGGAAAGGCTGATAAACTTTGTCAAACCCACTCATGTCTTGTGCGCAAATGTCACCAGCTTTAGACGGCAATCCTCCACAGCGAGTAATTGGAAATGACAGAGGAAAATGGTTATCAGATAAATCTTCCCCTTGATGGATTTGAGTTTCACAGTCAGGGTTCCTTCAGGACAAGATGCTGTCAGAGCCAAACAAAGACAGGGTGCTGCTAGGATTAAAAACATGTCAATAAGAGCAGCGGCATTGGATTGCATTTTATCAACAAATAAAGCTGTTTTTATTCCGCAAAATGAAAAGTTATTTTGCGAAATATGAACAGCTTTTATTCACAAACTTTTTATCACTTTGGCCTGCTCATTAATAATAACATGTTTGCTGGTGCATTCATATTCAAATCAGCCAATTCCTCTCTCTATAAGTACTTTATAAGAGGCATTTATACATAATTCCTGGACTTACTGATAGCTCTCCCCGGGCAGTCTATCGCTCCTTGACAAACAGATGAGATTTCCAAGTGAATGCCCAAGAGGAAATAAAATGTATTGGCCCAAGATGATTAAATGATGTTATGAATATATATGAGTTTGCACCTAAGCCTAAGCATCTCTCTTATTGAGCTATGTCCTGCATTTATGCTAAAACTAGGTCACTTTACACATATCACCATGGCAACTGGTGCTGGTTAAAGATCACTTTAAAGATGAAGTATTTGAGTTCATTACAGAAAGGGCATTAAGAGGTCACCGAGACTGAGCAAAACGTTACAAGTTCTACATTAGGCACCCTTTTGAGGACTTTGTATAAAAAAGTGAATTTCTGTATTGGCAATAATACAGAAAACACAAATATATTTCAACACGATTTGCCCCAATGTATAAACAAATCTGAACGATACATGGTAGTTATTCATGTCAGAGGGACTCATGGGCTCTTCTGATGTCATGACCAGACTGTCCAACTGGTACAACTTGCATTTACAAGATGAAGGAGATGTTTTGTATTCATGATATTTTTCACCTAAGACAGAACAGCTTATTGTTATTAGTTACATGTTTAATCACAGGTTTAACGTGTGCCTCTTCCAGAACTGTGCAGTCACTCAGTCAAACTTTATTCAAAAAGCATGTTTCCTTCAAGTAACACAACATTCTTCATTACAAGAACAACTGTGATGATCCAGGACACACATTCTACAACATGTATGACATTTATGAACATTGGTCCATAGAGAGAAACCAATGTCTCTCCCTATGGACCAATACACATGTGTTCTATATTTTATTGTCTTAACTGTTAATTCTCTGATCTGTGTTGGTGATTTCAATGGTTTCGTTAAGTCCTCTGAGATGACTACTGCTGTGATTTAATAATATATAATAATAATAATATAATAATGCATAGGTTTTATATAGCACTTTTTTGGACACTCAAGGACGCTTTACATGTCATTATTCTTTCACTCCATACACGGTGGTGATAAACTACTACTGAAGTTTATCACCACCCAGTTTATCTGTCAGTGTGCCCTGGCCACACTGACAGAAGCGAGGCAACCAGTCTGTGCCTTCGGCCCTTCCGACCACCACCAACCATTCATACACACACCAGACTCATTCTAGGCAATAGGGGTGAAGTGTCTTGCCTAAGGACACAACTGCAGTTTGGCACTTTACAACCGCAGCCGCCCCACTGTGGCACCTGGTGTTCCCAGAGGTTAAGTGTGTTGCCAAGGACACAACGACAGCAGACAGTGGGAGTTGATGGTGAGAGTCGGGCTCGAACCCGCGACCCTCTGGCCCAAAGGCCTGTGCTCTACCAACTGAGCTACTGTCGTGATTTAGTGCGATATGAGAATAAATTGTATTGTATTAAAACTAGACCAGATGGCCAATGACCCGTCACCCCATCACCCAACAATGGCCAAGCAAGCACACCGTACAAATCGTGCCTTCAACTTAAGAATTTTCCCACATTTTAGTAAAGAACCGCCCTGTCCACTTTTTGAACAAAACTCTCTGGTCTTATTTGACGAGCACATATCCCCAGAATGATTGACAATTGGAAGACCAATAGTCTTGCTGATCCACCCAGAAGCAGAAAATCCTCCTACATACCTTTAAGATACAGTCTAAAAACTGTATAGATCTAGGTCTAGGGATTTTTATACTGAATTCAGGATCCACATGCATACCATCAATTATTCAGTGTGGTGTATATTATATTTCAGCTTTGATTAAAATTTAATTCCTACTTGAATACACTCTATTTGCTATCCACATACTGTCTGAACACAGAAAGAGAGCAGTGTTTTAATCCCATTGGTTTCATGTTTTTAAGCCCATTGCCTGGAGAGGGCATGTTACTCTGATGAAAAGACATGAGTGTTTCATCCGTGCAAAGTTCACTGAGTCATGTTCGTCCTAATAAACATGAAGCTGTTCTTAAGGGAGAAGAAAAGCTTGTTTTTATCGATAGTCCCTGTAAATGTATGATATACCAACTTCATTAAACCCAGATTCAAATTAGGCCTCTACAGATTTCAGTCTTTCACCAGTTTCGACTTTGAAGTTTCTTTTTTGGGGGTCATGAGGGTTGGAGATAAAGTAGAAATGAGAATATGGAGCCAGTCTGACAGCTGCTGAACAATACTGAATCTTTGAAGAGTTTCTTTGTTTTGATTTCTTCTTTCTTCTCATCACCAAGAAACTATGTCTTCTAAATAATTATGGTATTCACTTTAATGTGCTCTTTTGAGTGGGGATTAGCGAAAGATAAATTCACGTTTTAATATATACTCAAAATTGTTGCATCTGCATTCTATTTGATCACCTAATGGATTTGACTGTTTGAAGTTTGGGAAGTTTGTGTTTTGAGCTGAGAAAAACTTATGTCTTATGACTACAAGTGCTAATGCTAATAATATGACAGCAGCAGACTCTAAGTTCTAGTCATAAGACAATAAGATAATAATACCTCAATTAATCGATACAAGCAATAATTCATTATCTGCCATTTTTCATATATATTTAACCCAGATCTGAGCAAAACCACACATCAATTAACACAGAAAGAGATGCCAGATAAAAATACATTCTCAGTAGTAGAAGACCAAATTGAGTATTACGATATATTGATATTTCGATCTTATATAGTATATGTTCGGACTTTTTATGTTATAGCCCTCCGAAGGGGCTAACGGCAGGCAGCACACATGGCATGACTCGTGTTTGTCATATTTTGTTAATTTATTAGAACAAATGTTTGACCACAGGTCATAAACCTGGAAAGAATACAGAAATAAACAATTACCACTAATTGTCCCTTTAAATTATCTGCCACTAAACTGAACATTGTTATTTGTAAATAAACATTTAGTACTTATTTACATGTAACACAAATAAACATTTGTAAAGCAAATAAACACATTATCGCGCATTTCCCAGTGTAGCCGCGGCAAACCACCGCAAAACTACATTACCCAGCATGCCTGGCGCCGAGTGCGCCTGCGCTATGCGTGCCTCTGCTCTCTCATGTGTCAGCACGGACCAAAACAAACTATGGCACACATACAGCGCTCCACACGTGTCTCCGCTACCACCCGTGCAGTCTACTGCTGCTACAGTCCACCTGTATCTGTGATTATGACCACGGTCACAGTGAGTGCTCTGGCTGCTGTGCGCTCTC